ACATGGTGGTTGGGGGAAGCAGGGAGTAAAAATTTGGTGCCTTTATAATGGGTTCAAACTTAAACAGCCATCAACTTAATACAGACCACTATATGCAGAAGATGTTATATGTAGACCTAATGGTAACCACGAATCATAAACCTTTAATAGATATGCAAAAAATAAAGGGAAAGGAATCTAAGTATATCACTAAAGCAAGCCAGCAAACCATGAGAGAAGAGCAAGAGAAGAAAGGAGCAAAGAACTACAAAAACAACCATGAAACAATGGCAATAGGCACATACCTATCAATAATTACTTTGAATGTAATGGACTATATGCTCCAATCAAAAGACATAGGATGACAGAATGGAAAACAAAGCAAGACCCATCTATATGCTGCCTACGAGAGACTCATTTCAGACTGAAAGACACCTAAAGATTGAAAGTAAGGGGTTGGAGAAACATTTATCATGCAAAAGGAAATGAAAAGAAAACCAGGGTAGAAATACTTATGTCAGACAAAATACATTTTATTTCTTTTTTTTTAAAGATTTTATTTATTTATTTGACAGAGAGAGACAGCGAGAGAGGGAACACAAGCAGGGGGAGTGGGAGAGGGAGAAGCAGGCTCCCCGCTGAGCAGGGAGCCCAACACGGGGCTCGATCCCAGGACCCTGGGATCATGACCTGAGCCGAAGGCAGATGCTCAACTGACTGAGCCACCCAGGCGCCCCACAAAATACATTTTAAAACAAAGACTCTAACAAGCGACAAAGAAATACTTCTTATATTTCCATTATTGCCTTGGTACTATATTTCTGAAGCATTTTGGAGTCATAGGTCCCTTCACAGTAATAAGTCACATACCAAGACCCCCAAAAATGCACCTATGCACATCCCATACAGTGTTACATAAAATGTCAAGGAGTTTGTGGACCACAGGGTAAGAACTCTTATGTTGTGAATTAAATCACATTTATTACATAATACATCCATAGCTCATCTATCAAATCATATTTGCCAAGCATAAAAAATACCCAATAACATGGTATCTGGCTCATAATTCAGTAGAAAGGTAACAGATTAGAGGGGCGCCTGGGTGGCTCAGTCATTAAGCGTCTGCCTTCGGCTCCGGTCATGATCCCAGAGTCCAGGGATCGAGCCCCGCATCGGGCTCCCTGCTCCGCAGGAAGCCTGCTTCTCCCTCTCCCACTCCCCCTGCTTGTGTTCCCTCTCTTGCTGTGTCTCTCTCTGTCAAATAAATAAATAAAATAAGTAACAGATTAGATACATACTTATACACATACCCTAAGTACTACCAAACCAGTGATTGTGACCACATGCTGTAGGAGTTCAGAGGAAGGAAAGATAAATGCAGGCAATGATGGTCTAGGAAGATTTCCTCTGGCGGGGGCAGAGCATTTCCATCAGGGGAGAAGAGTAGGAGATGAAATGTAGAAGTCAAAAGTGGGGGGGTAGCCAGGAGAAAGACGTGAACAGAGATAAGAGTGGGAGACAGGCAAGGACTGAGTGGGCAGACAGCCGAGGACGGGTGGCTCTAAGTGGAGGCCCGGATGGACAAAGGAAGAAAGCAAATGGAGCAGCTGCACTCCTTGTAGCCTTTTAGTTTTTAACTTCCAGCAGCAAAAATCAACATTATCAGAAACAGCAAACCACCATCAGCCATAGAGTTAATGGGGACTGTGATGCATTCCAGGGTTTCATGAGAAGGTCAAGAAGCTAGAAGAAATCCCATCTATGCCTCGAGTTGTGAAAATATAAACTTAGCTACTCTGCATTTTTGTTTCAGCAACATAACTCTGCTTGTAATTCCTTACACACACCATGCTATTCTAGCCTGTTTTGCCTTTACTCAAGACATGCCCTCTTCTAGGAAAGCCTTTTGTCTGACAAAAATTCAGTTCAGATAATCTCTTTCAAAAACTTGTGATGTCCCTCACCACCAGACTAGGGAAGTACCCAGTGCTTATCGCCACCATGACAGCTCCTCACTGCATTGAAGTGATCTGTTCACCAGGGTAACTCCCTCTGTGGGCAGAGACTATCTGGCTTACCTTCACATCCCTAGCGCGCAGGTAGTTGGTTATCCTAAAAGGCCACTGCATGTCTCCCCTGACAGCAGATAATCCTTGCTTCTACTTGTGATTCTCCAGAACCGTGATTCCGGAACCTGGACATTAGGGTAATCTTTTCTCAACTAAAATTCAAGGGTGGTGGTGTTCATTGTTGGAGGTGATGTTACCAGTTGGCGTTTTAGACAGTATACACAAGCACACCTCAGAGATACTGTGGGCTCAGTTCCAGACCACTGCAGTAAACTGAATGTCATAATTAGTGAGTCGAGTGAATTTTTACTTCCCAGTACTCATAAAAGTTATGTTCATACTATACTATTAAATGTACATTAGAATTATGTTTTAAAAAACAATGTACTTACCTTAATTTTTTATTGCTAAAAAGGCTAACCATCATCTGAGCTTTCAGGAAGGTCTTGCCTCGATGTTACTGACTGCTGACTAATTAGGAGGGTGATTGCTGAAGGTTGAGGTGGCTGCAGCAATCTCTTTAAAAAGACAACAATGAAGTTGACTGTACCGATTGACTCTTCCTTTCACAAACAATTTCTCTGTAGCATATGATACTATTTGGTAGCATTTTACCCACAGTAGAACTTCTTCTAAAATTGGAGTCAATCCTCTCATCCCCTGTTGCTGCTTTATCAACTAAGTTTATGTCATATTCTAAATCCTTTGTTGTCATTTCAACAATCTTCCCCAGGAGTCGATCGCCTCTCAAGAAACCACTTTCTTTGCTCAGCCATAAGAAGCAACCATTCGTCCATTAAAGTTGTATCATGAGATCGCAGCAGTTCCGTCCCATCTTCAGGCTCCACTTCTAACTCTAGTTCTCTTGCTGTTTCCCCCACATCTGCACTTACTGCCTCCATTCCAGTCTGGAACCCCTCAACCCATGATGGTTGGAATCGACTTCTTCTTCACTCCTGTGAATGTTGATATTTTGACCTCTTCCCGTGAATCATGAATGTTCTTAATGACATCTAGAATGGTGAATCCTTTCCAGAAGTTTTTCAATTTACTTTGCCCAGATGCATCAGAAGAATCACTATATAGAGAGGTATAGCCCTAAGAAATGTATTTCTTAAATTATAAAGACTTGAAAGTCAAAATGACTCCTTGATCCATGGGCTGCGGAATAGATATTGTGCTAGCAGGCCTGAAAACAATCTCATTGTCCATCTCCATCAGAGCTCCTGGGTGACCAAGTGCATAGTCAGTGAGCAGTCCTATTTTGCAAGGAATCTTTTCTTTCTGAGCAATAGGTCTCAACAGTGCACTTAAGATAGTAAACCATGTTGTAAACAAATGTGCTGTCATCCAGGCTTTATTGTCCCATTTATAGAGCACGGGCAGAGTGGATTTAGCAGAATTCTTAAGGGCCCTGATTTTGGGAATGGTCAAGGAGCACTGGCTTCAACTTCAAGTCACCAGCTGCCTTAGCCCCTAACAAGAGAGTCAGGCTGTCCTTTGAAGCTTTGAAGCCAGGCACTGACTTCTAAGAAAGTCTTAGATGGCATCATCTTCCACAATAAAACTGTTTCATCTACAGTGAAAACCTGTTGTTCAGTGTAGCCACCGTCATGAATTATCTTGGCTGGATCTTCTGGAGAACCTGCTGCTTTCCCTTCACTTTTATGTTATGGAGATGGTTATTTCCTTAAACCTCATGAACCACCTCTGCTAGCTTCCAGCTTTTCTGCAGCTTCTTCATCTCTCAGCCTTCCTAGAATTGAAGAGTTAGGGCCTTGCTCTGGATTAGGCTTTGGCTGAAGAGAATGTCATGGCTGGTTTGATCGTCTATCCAGACTATTCAGACTTTCTCCATATCGGCAATAAAGCTGTTTTGCTTTCTTAGTATTTGTATGTTCACTGGACTAGCACTTCTAATTTCCTTCAGGAACTTTTCCTTTGCATTCACAGTTTGACTTTTTGGCAAAAGATGCCTAGCTTTTGGCCTGTCTTGGCTTTTGACGTGCTTTCCTCACTAAGCTTAATCATTTCTAGCTTTTGATTTAAAGTGAGAGACATGTGACTCTTCCTTTCACCTGAACACACGGAAGCTAGTGCAGGGTTATTAACTCACCTAATTTCAATCCTAATTTCAGTTATCATTGTGTCTCAGGGAATACGGAGGCCTGAGGAGAGGGAGAGAGATGGAATGGCTAGTCAAGCAGTCAGGACACACACATTTATCAGTTAAGTTTGCTGTCTCATATGGGCATGGTTCATGCCTCAAACAGTTACAATGTTCACATTAAAGGTCACTGATCCCAGATCACCGTAACAAATACCATGATAATGAAAATGTTTGAAATATTGCAAGAATTACCAAAATGCAACATAGAAACACGAAGTAAGCAGATGCTATTGGGAAAGGTGGTGCTGACAGACTCGCTCAGTGCAGGGTTGATACATACCTTCAGTTTATAAAAAAGGCAGTATCTGCGAAGTGCACTACGGGAGGTAGTGCACTTAACTGTAAGTCTAAGTACCTGGGCCTCAGTGCCTGTAACTGTGGTGCCGCATTTGCTTCTCCAACATCTTTGCCTTGAGGGCTTTGGCTGCCGGAGCCTTTGGTCCACTGGTCCTGTCTTGAGCACAAGATGCAGGCTGTGATCAGATCACCTGGGGGTGTCCCATGGCCTGCGTGTTCAGAGGCCCCTGGGTGCTCTGCCCAAATGTCACCTCACGGAGGGTTTCCCTGATCGCCTGATGGAAGATAAAAATGACCTAGCAGTCCCTCCATCCTGTTTTGCCGCTGTATTTTCTTCATTAGCATTTCTCACTGTCCCATTTCCAATTTTGATCTCCGTATCTTTTAACACTTGTTCAAAGAATTCGTCTACAGTTTTTAATGTACTTCAGAAGGAAAGTCAACTTTTCCATCGAGTTTAACTTTTCTTCCTTTTCTGTTTAAAGGAGGACTCTCTGGATCACATTTGAGACATGGAAGAAGTTTGTAAAATTTATGAAAGAGGAAAGAATAAAAGAAGAAAGGCGAGAGCAACTCCGCCGGAAGGTGGCTGAAATTCTCCCAGACTTCCAGGCGCTTGCCCCGCGCTGAGCCCGGGTGCGGCGGCGGTGGACACTGGCGCTGAGAGCGGGCGCCGCGTGTGGGCCGGGCGTCCGCACACAAACACCTGCTCTGTGGCCTGCTGGGCACTTCTTGGATCAAAGGGCCTCTCTGGGGAATTTTTACTTCCTTCTTTGATTTCTGTTGGATTGCTAATTAGTTCACTAGAGCATTTATCACAGCAGGACCAAAGAACAGTGTAAAGCTCAGCTATTCAAATGTATCCTATATATTTTTAGCATCAGAAATTTTAAAGAGTACAAGTGTTTGCCTGAGTCTCTGAAAGAAAATGTGTCCCTATAGTTTAATATATGAGTTGTTGACAAATGTAACTTAATAGAAATTAAAGGCAGGGAGTACACAGAAAAGGAGTCACAGGTGGTCCGTGATCTAGTACCGTAGCATCGGCAAGAGGCCCTCTACCCGACGCCATCCTTTGTGCCCACCCTGCTGGAGAGCCGCATCTCAAATGGGACCCAGTGCAGCTGCTGCAAAGGGCAGCAATTTTCTCCTCATTGCAGGGCAACTGTGGCACCAAAGATCCTTCTCTTCAGTGCATCCTGACAGGCATGAAGGGAAATCCAGAAGCTAATGACTCTCTCAGGGGCAGTCCAGCAATTCGTTAAAACGTCTGTGCATGCTTCCAACTACAGCTTCTAAACAATACACTCCGTCTCTCTTCTAGTCCTCCGCTCAGTTTGATCCACATATCGAGATGAATTCAAAGAACGATTTTAAGGTGCAGATGACTATAGAGACTGACAAAATGCTCTTCTGTGAATTGTCTGAATTACCTGCTAGAAAAAAAATTTTCATTACAAAATACATGTTTGTTATAACAAATCTAAGTAATAGACAAGTGCACCCGGTAGAACAAGAAAGTCCCTTGCAGCCCTGAGGTAACTGCTAGTAGTTGCTAGGTTGAAAATTCGAGTTGGTAAGATAAAGTTCAATATGTGTTCAATAAATTGTTGTTGTCCTTACTTCCTAGAAGGGATATCCAGCTCCACCACCTGCACAATGATTTACATCCTTTTTCTGTGGAACATGTGTGAGGATTTACTCAAATGACAAAACACCCTAAATTGAACTTTATTCCTTCTACAGTGTCCCTGTCCCCACATCTTTTCCTTTAATATGATTATACAGTTGTCATCTAAAAACTCTTTTTAAGACTAAGCCGCTTAGTCTTAAATCCCATAAAGCTTAAGTTTCCTCTCTTAAGCTTTCCTTTATTTTACTTCACCTCAAGCATCAATTAGCCATTGAGTCTTTAGCAGCACATATTCTGACTGGGCCAGTGAGGACTTTTTACCTACTTACGGAACCTCCTAAAGACCCACAGGAAAATCCCTTAGTAAATGACCTGTAGTTCTTGCTGGGCTATCCTAAAGACATGATTAAAAATAGTACTGCTAACAAAATGCCCAAATAAGCAGTACCCCTGGCCTATAAAACTAGACAAAGTAACCACCAGGAAACGGAGTGTTTACGGCCAGAGATAACAGGTCCGCAGGACGGGGACATCTCAGGAGCCAGTGGAGCGGCCCAGCTCTAACACACGCTTCTCTTAAGGCAAAAGAGTTCAGGAGACACACCAATAAACACCAACTACTTCCCTTAAAGAAAGCACTTTATTTTCCATTTAAAGCAAATTGGTCACAGTACATTATTTTACATAAATGGCAGTAGTTTAAATCTCTATTTAAAAGGCCTTGTGTCTGAGTCTGAGGTGATAAGAGGATATGAATACATGTATAAAAACAGTGCAAAACGTCTAGCCCACAGCCTCCAGCGTTGGCGTCAGGAATCCCCTTTAATGTTGGTGGGCCAGTTGCATTAAATATTCCTGGATGTCCTTTAGCCTAACATGAGACCCAGAAATGTAATCAAATGAAAAGGTTCAAAAGTCCTAACAACGCAAATCATCAAATCCCCCCAGACCACAGGATCAGAGCAGACTGAGCTTCCCAGTTCTAGAACATGGCATCGTGTCAGTGGTGCCATGGGAAGAAATAAAGGATGTGTGTTGCATCGGTAACTAGAATCGACTGGCTCTGGTTTTAAAGCCTTGCCTTTGAAGAATGAATTTTCTAGGAGAGAAGGTGCCACCAGGAAGGCTAGAGTAGCAGTAAGTCAAAAGCTCAACTCAGAAATAGCTGGAATTCGCTTCAGCCTCTGAGAGATCTGTCTCCATGAACCACTCAGTCTTTGGCTACTGGCACCACTATAGTGAAGCACAGGGTGCCGACGCAAGTGGGGTAACAGCCCATTAGCAACAAGATTACATGTAGCTAATTCTGCAGAAAGTTTCTGTTAATCACAGCAAACACCCACAGGAACACAGGGGACTTTTTTATTAGAGTTAAGCATAGCTCTCCTTCTTCCCCTGCATCATACCTTGGCGGTGTTTAACATAAAACGGCATACTTGCCCCGCTGCTGCTGAGAAAACCAGATTCCCAACAGATGCCTCAAGTGAAAGTCTCTATCCTCCCTTGCTTGTTTGAGGAAATTTTCTTTTTTCAAATGCAAGGTACCTACATATGGCTAAAATGAAGTCATATAAACCCACTTACCTCATTTAAAGAAACCCTTAAATTTCACAAAACACTGTTAAACATCCTGGTTAAAACTGTGCTTCTAGATGTCATATTTTTGCTTACGGTAGTTGAGTTTTGTAATAAAAAGCTAATGTCCTACCCAAAGGAAATATAGTCTATGAAGCAGATAGGTCAGTATTCTAGTGAACCTTACTGGTATTGTGTTTTCTGGCAGTGGGAGATTCTAGTATAGAAAATTTTCTCTTACTAAAAATATTAGAAGTACCAAGGACTATTACATAAGAGAAAGTTCATTGCAGTGTTTCTGCTGGGCAGGTGGCACAGTGGATGACAACAATTACTTCATTCAGCAAAGGACCACACTACTTGAATAGCAAAGATTTCCGGTATCCTAAGCAGACACAGAGGTGGCTGAGGTGAGATGACCAACAGTGTCCCTAAAACTCACTTAAGGCTTGTTCACGGTCAGTTCATTTCAGGTGGGCCCAGCTAGAACCACAAAGTACTCTTTGGGTACCATTAAAAAAGCATTTTAAATACTGAAGGACGTTTCTCCTTTCGCAATCCTGATCCTTAACTATTTTTCCCTTAAATCTTGTGAATGGGCCCATTTCCCTTCCCCAGGAATAGCACACAATGGCATGACCATAATGTAGGTGGTCAGAATATAGTAGATGGTTTGCTAAAGCTCCATATCAGTATGTTTATTAACAGGCTGAGGATGCAAGGGCAGGGGCTGGAGGGGGGTGGAGAAAAGGGAGTTGTGCTGGGGAAGGGCTTGCCTCTATGGCCAACAAACTACTGGTTTATAGGACTGCAGAGCAATTCTCCCATGGCCGCCGCCACCGCCACCACCAAAGGTTTCTCTGGGACTCTTTCGTTCCTGGAGAACTTGTCCTTTAAAAGGACAAAATCCCTCAAATAGTTCCAGGTCATAAAAAGGTGTAAAAATCTAGGAGCGTAGACTTAGGGTGTCCCGGGGCCTACAGAAACCCTGCTCACAAAGAGCCCCTTGTTTGCTGCTCCTTGTGGTGCAAATACTTCAGTAGGCTTTTATCCCCATAAAACCACAGAACTTTTTCAAAAGTTTGAGCTTTCTCCTGTAAAATGCCAATCATGATCTCAAGGAACTTAAAACAAGCAACTTCATCCCAACCAGCCGGAGTAATATACAAGGAGTCCTTATGCAGGTGAGGGAACTTGAGAGGCCCCATGTAGATAAACCATTAGGGCTGTGCTATCATAAAAATGGCAGTCGTTCCTGATTCTCCCACATGACTGCGGTCTCTTGGGTACTACTCATCTTTATCATGTCATATTTTGATGGTTGTTAAAGATTTGCCAAGAGGCTAAAATTACCGACTATACTATTGCTTCTGTGAATTCTATTAGCAACTGTTAGACGATCAGAGTTGGCTATACACCTGGCATTCAAGAGACTACAACTAGAGTTCTGGCCACATGTGCTGTCCTTGACATTATTCCTCTCTCTCTTATCTCAAACCTAGCAGAACAGAATTAGTTCTCTCAGATCCAGTGTTAATTCCAAATGAATGCTTGACTCTGGGCCAGAGCCAGGGCATCACTGTAGAAACCACAGACTGCTAATACCCCAGACTTGCTCTTTGGCTCATCCCAGTGGAATACGGAGCCTCTCACTGGTTAAACAATCCATCTCTGGGGAGAGCAGCGACAAGCCTGTACAAAGAAGTGGTGACTGTCTTAAGGACAGCTTTGTTTCCCAGCAGGACTAGGGATGGTGCTAGCTGCAGACGGCAGAGTCGCAGGAAGTACCAGTATTTCCTCTCAACATTTATGAACTTCTTACGACAGCAGCATGCACAGACAGACTGAAAAAAACTGGCAAAATTTCTCCGATACTAAGCTATAAACCAAAGTAAACTTAAGGACTCATGAATTTTCTTTGGGACTGCAAAATAAGCACATGTAAAAAACTAAATATTTCAAGAGGGCATTTTCCCCATCCAAAATTGCCTCATCATAACTCTATGGCAGAACAGACCCATTCTCTATATATTTAATCTTTTATACATTTTCAGTTTCAAGATATGAAAAAAGATTTTAGGAAGAGCTAGGGAAGAACCATATCCATTAAGTAGTGGAAACCATATATACCCTGTTTTTTCTCTCCAAGTGAGATATTTTGTCTAGGGCAAGGTGAATGAGAAGTAATGTGCAAGTAGGAAGATGTCCATCGACTCCTCAAAGAGAGTTCATGCCAGAAGAATATAAATGTCAAAAAACTGGTTTTTGCAATCGAGTACTGTAACTGACAGTGTTTGCATTACTTACATGGGAAAAAAAAAAAAAAAATCGAGCCCTTGATATTGACCAGCCACCCTACCCAGGAAAGAACGTAAACTGTTCCCCCACAGGAGTGTCTGTTCCCCTCTTCCAGCCTCATCAAAAGTATGCTAGCACCTTCCCAGGTGAAACATGGAAAGAGGAAAAAAACAGTAATGCCTATTAGAGTTTGGAGTTAGAGTAAATCCAAACAATAAATATAGAAGAAATGAGATAAATGTAAGGACTCACCATCTAAACTCATGACCACTGTAACTTATACTACCAATAAATAGAACTGTTTTGACTGTCCCTTCAGATCAGATGACAGTGTGAATCCATCCAATCATCTTCTGTTTGAGTAGCTAATGTCTAATACTTCAGAAAGAGAAATTACCGTAACTGTACAATGTGGTACAATGTAGTATTTCAGGATCTTTCTTTCACTCTTAAATGCTGAAAATGGATTCCTCGGATAGTTTTGGCTTCTGTATTCTGACCTACAAACATTTTTCTCGGTCTTTGAGTTTTCCTAATAATACTTCATCCCTCTTGGGTGCTTCTGTCATTTTCCAGTGCTTTCCACACGCCTGGTCCCTCGCACGACCCTCCCGACCATGAGGTAGCCAGGGCAGGCAGCAGCACCCCACTTTACGGATGAACCTGAGACTTGGGGAAGTGACTCAACGAAGGGTCACATGGCTATCAGGAATTGAAAGAAGGACTGGAAACGATCCTAATCCAAACTCTTTCTCCCCTGCTAACGGATGGGAATGGCTTCTATCAAGCTGTGCATTAGCAATCCGCATCCTCTCCCGCTCCTGGTGACTGAGTTAGTGAACAAGGTGACTGGAAAAGAATGGCTCTACTTTTACTGCTTCGATATAAAAATCTCTTAAGGTAAAGTCAGAAAAATTCATTTCTTCCCAGTCCTGTGTCTAAACCTGAGCATGGCCCTAGACAGCCTTTAAGAAACGGGGGATAAAAGTGAACATCCTGCACGGACGCCGACGTGTACACTGGGAGGGCGCAGAGGGGAGAGCCACCCCTCACAGAGCCACACAGAAGGCACTTCAGACAATGTCCTCAGCGGGGTGGTGGCAGGGGGCGGTGCCCAGGGTGGAGAACTGATGCCAGTTCCGCAGGAAGCCCCGGTTGTACTGGCCCGTGTCCACGATGAGTCCGCAGAGGAGCCGGCGCCCCGTCTTCTGACGCAGGGCCTGCTGGACTTCCCGCTCGGTGACATTGTAACTGATGTTGATCAGCTGGATGAGGAAGATGTACGCCATGCCCGCCGTGATGATCACAGAGTACCACACGCAGGTGAAGGACAGGGCGGAGCTGGGAGGACAAAGGGCGGGTCAGGATGCCGACCGTTTCAGTCAGAAAGCCGGCACCATCCTCACGTCTGACACACACAGCACCCATCACCAAGGACTCTGGTGCCTTCCCCAACTAACCCAATTGGAAGATGCTTTTCTACCCTCAGAACACCAAAATGCTTAACCTGTGACTACTCACATGTCCTGTTTTATGCTGTCATTCTTGCTGCCTCTTTTCCTAGGATGTTATATTAGAATAGCAAGGACATTTCTGCACTTGGTATCCCCCACACAAACACAGTGCCTGACATAACAGCATTCAAAAGCTATCAAATGAATGAACAATTCCTAAATTATTCTTAACTGAGGGAAAAACGAAGGCACCATGACGTGCTATAAACGTCCCCCAGGAAGCTGGAATGGTGCTAAAGCTGTTCGTCTCCACTCTCTTCGGTACAATGTTGGTGAACACAGGGAGACACGAGTCCTTTACTTCTATGTAGGAGCTCCGTCACATTTCAGGTCCAGCTTCTTCCAGCCAAACCGAATCACACAGGACAAGAAAGCTCCTTTCAGCTCCTTACAAAGACAGGAGGAGAGGCCGACTAATGTCCGCCAAATGATTATTTTCAAACATTTGCAAATGAGTTAGCTGGAAATGAACCCATCCTGAATCTTCATTTGTTAAGCTGAAAGGGACTCAGAGATGATTACCCCACCATAAAGATGAGGAACACCAAGGCTCAAACAGGGTGACGTGAAGCACCTATACAGAGGGTGGGTACCAATGGTGGACTGTGTTCCTCATTCCACGTCAGCGATCCACAGAAAGTCCACAAAATTCATGCTTAGTGACATGCAGACGTGCTCTGCTGTTAGGACATTTATCATGCGCAGTGTGACTGCAGAATTTCACAACCTACTAACACTCTCAATATAGAAAAATAAAAGGAACTTACCCCGAGCAGGAGGACCAGTCTGTTCTAATAATGCCCACAAATATCTAGATCTATGATGGCAATGGAAGATCTGTCCACAGACTAATAAGCAAATACCTTCACAGGGGCACTAGGTGGGTAAAGCAGGGATTGTTCTGAGAAAAGAGTGGGAAGAAAGAAAAGGACCGGGGGGCAGTGCTGTCCTAGCTCGGACTGGGGGAGTGGGGGAGGGGTTGGCCAGAGATACCAAACAGCATCTGCATCAGAGGGAAACGAGAGGAGGAGGGCACAAAGAACCCAGGCAGGGCCCCCCCCCCCCGGCCGCCCCGCAGCGATCTGGGGAGGGGCTCGCTGGGCCCAAAAATGCAAAACCCCAGCTTCCGACAAGGCATGGAGATCTTCACAATATATAAATGTGCCCCAACCTAACAAAGGAAATTTTGACCTAGATACCACAGTAATCATGAGTGGTGATTTTTTTAAAAAGTAGAACAGGACAAACCAGTGGAGGCTAAAAAGTAAATGTTACAGAAATTGTGAGAGCTCCACAAAAGGGTCAGAAGCAATAAATCAAGATAGGGCTAAAGAGCACGAGAAAGCCACAATCAAGTGACTTGCCATGATCATTTAGGACAAAACAGACCCCACACATCCCCTGGGACTCTTAGTTTACGGCTCTCGGTTCACCATTGCTGGCGGGGGCGGGGGGGGGCACGCAAGTGGTCATGTGAGTGACCCCCTCACTCTGTAAGGGTCAAGGAACCTTTTGCCATCACCCTAGAACAACTCACAATTTTGTTGGCCATTTCAAAGATACCCAGCATCCAATAACCTGTCCTATGTTTTGGTTGAAAACTCCTAACCTAGCAGGAAAGCACAGCCCCTTGCATTAACAGCAATGCCCACTCTCTCGTCTCTGGGCCTCGGTGCTCTGGTAGTCACATCTCACCTGTAATCTGCATAAACTCCAGGACAATAGAAGAGAGCTGTGAAGACACTTCTATCTCTACAAATGGTGTCCAAGGTCAATGTTATCCCGTACACCGAGGTGAGCAAGAAGATCGAAAGGGCAAGTATAAATGCTTGATGGTTTGATTCTCCAACACAGCTATTTATCCTCAAAACAGCAGAGGGGGAAGAAAAAGCAAACATTTTTTAAAGTTCTTGATACAGACAGGAGCTAAATATATCATGCTGATGATCAATGCATAATGAATATAAATGCTGAATGACTATGCTGTGCACCTAAACCTAACATAACATTGTAGATCCACTATAGTTCAATGAAAAAGGAAAAAAATGTTCTCCGTATAACTCACATAATGAACACGAAAGTTTCAAAACAAGGATCATGTGAATTTCAGCTATTAAAAAGTAAGTTCTCTTATTTTTCAACTTTAGGGAATTAAAAACTTGCCCACTGAGAGATGTAGTCTTGTATTTTCCGCTTCTTCCAAAGTGAAATCATATCATTAGGACAAAGCTAAGTAAAAAGCAGAACCCAGCTAACAAATCTTTCTAAATCGTAATGAGTCTATTACCCAACCATGAAGAGCATTAATACTGTAACTACCACAATAAGAAAAGGCTGGTATCAGTTAGGAAAACTTAAAAAACCAAAAGTATTACACACTATGGGAAAATATATGTTAAATACATATACTAATACAAAGATCCCAAGAGGTTAGAAATGTGTTGTGGGGTGGAGAACAACTCGATAATATGCAGACTACTTGTCAGGGAGAAAGCTCTGTCTCGTGGCCATTTGTCAGGCGGAATGTACGGGCATCTCTCCAGCCCACCGCACACCAAGAGGCCCCAGTGGGCAGAGAGCTTTTTATTCAGAGCTGTCAGGCCCCCTACAAACCAACTCTTGTAAATGGGCCACCACACACGCACACACGCACACACACATGCACGCATGCACACACACGCACACAAGAATACATGAAGACGGGGCGCCTGGGTGGCTCAGTCGTTAAGCGTCTGCCTTCGGCTCAGGTCATGATCTCAGGGTCCTGGGATCGAGCCCCGCATCAGGCTCCTTGCTCTGCAGGGAAGCCTGCTTCTCCCTCTCCCACTCCCCCTGCTTGTGTTCCCTCTCTCACTCTGTCTCTCTCTGTTAAATAGATAAATAAAATCTTTAAAGAAAAAAAAAAAAGAATACATGAAGACTCTCAGAAGTTAAAATCTAAAAGTGAAAATACCTGTTTATTCCTAAAGAAAGCCCCAGAAAAGAGCTATCCCTGTGCTTGAGGTCCACTCCAAGGCCCTCCTGGCCTTGCTGCACCCTCTCCGTCCCCTACGTGCCCTCCCGTGCGGGGAGGAAGGTATGCTACATGCATGACCAGAATCCTAGCCATAAAAAGCATACTTCACTCACCACAGGTGCCTTGAGAGCTAAGAGCTAGAGAGTAGCAAACATGCTACTTAAGGCATTCACATCTGAATAAACGCTAACCCCTTTTAGATTTACTCAGTGAAGCAGTAACATTATCTTTCAAAGTTGCGCTTCACATGGCAGGGGTCTTCCGTGTCCTCATTAGGCACTGGTCAGCTGGCAGGCACTAAAAAAGCCCATTTCTCTGCAAATAGCAAATAACAAAATAGGGAGTTACCTGGCAGGGCCTTATCTCAACAATGCAGGCTAGGAGAAATCAAAATGATGAAGGATGTATGGCGAGGGGACAAAGTCACCTACAACTATGGGAACACTTTCTTGAGCTCTGTGTTCAAAAGGCACAGCCCAGGGAAATATACCTAGATTGATTCTGATCCATTCTTTTTTAAAAAACATCACTCACCTGCAAATACTTCTCTTTTACAAAGGAGAAAGTCAGTGAGGGGCGGCTCGGAAGAGAAGAGCAAACTAGCAACAACAACAACGCCCTTCGGGAAATGACTGAAGGAACTACATCTGTGGAACTGGGAAAGCGGATGACTAAGTGGGAACATGATACCAGCCCACAAATATCTGCAAGGTGCAAAGCTGGGAAGGAGTGAAATTTTAGGATGGCAAAAGGAAGATCAAACAGGGCCAGGGTCTTAGGGGACTTTACACCTTGCAAGCCTCCAAATCTTTCCAGCATACCAGACACAGTGATGATCCATTCTCCGGACGCAGACGCCGCATAGCCGGCAATGCCACGCCCGGGCCGGCCGCACCAGCTGACACTTGGCACACCAGTCCTCCTTCACCTTGGCAGGGCTTCCGGCCAACACCCTGCAAGAGCCCTTAAGATCGTCCTTCGGCGTGCGGCTGCTGAGACTGCCCAACGATCCTGCACCGGGGAGCCCTCTGGTCCTCTCCAGCCCGTCTCTGCTCAGGCATTCAACTTGGCTACTGCTGAGAGATTTGTCCTTGCTTGCTGGATTTCTGAGGTAGCCTGGATTCTTCTTGGCTCTGTACAGGGCCAAGAGTACCAGAAATAACCCGCAGGTAAGAAGAGCCAGCTGAGCGGGCCCCACACGCCCTTTGGGGACCACTTCCTGCAGGAACACATAGTACATGTAGCCCAGAGAGAACAGTCCGAGGCCCAGGAAAAACAGAGTCTGTTCTTTCCTTCTGTGAGTGAGGTAGTAGTACCACAGAGCCAGCCCAGGAAGGGAGGTCAAAACCACCACCCCCAGGAGGAGATGCCAGGAAGCCACGCGGAGGAAGACGGGCAGGAGGATGAGTGGGGGGATGATGCTAATGTTAACTTTTTTGGCTCCCCTAAGCCAAGGAATTCGGAGGCGATCAGAAATAGTATCCATGATTCTTTCGCAAGTCTCTGGCTGCATGGATTTACATGTGATCCATCTAGTCAGAAGAGCACAAAGAGAAGGCACTTCACATGGGTTTGCTAAATTCAAAACCACGGACCACTGTAGGGCTAAACAGCAGGATAAATGATAAAAGAGGCCAAAGGCCAAGTACCCTCCTTCCATACCACTAAACACGAGCTCTTCGGATCACACAGCACTTAATTTGAAAGGGAAGACAATGTTTAGAAATCTAACAGTTAACAGTATTTCTCCACGAAGCAAACACACAGGAATACACACACATACTCTGTACAAGTACTGTCCAGACTTGGGTGAGTATAGATCCTCAAAAAAAATTTCATAATCTAGTTGTGAAGACAACATGGAATTTGGGAAGGATCAGAGAAGAGACAAAGCAGCAAAATCGCCCAGTGAACTATCGTGGCCAAACTCCATAAGGTGTGCTCAGAGGAGAGTGGACACTGCTGGGTGGAGTCATGAGAGGGATCGCTGTGAAAAAGGTGGGACCTGCGCCCCAGCTCGACAGCAGGCCAGCATGTGGTGGGGGACGGGGAGGCAGGGAGGCGTTCCAGTGGAGCGGCACGTGCACAGCACAAACCCGTCCTGTGCCCGGGGAGTCACGAGTCTAGCAGGGCCAGGGGGCTGCACGAGTAAGAGTGGAGAGCAAACTACTCAGAGCGAAATGACCGAGCTTCGTGGACGCACAGCATTTACTGACATGTTTGCACGCTTAGGCTAGCAAGACAAGGAACAATAACTCTTGATTGTAGACAAATAATTTAGAAAAGTAAGGCAACAACTTGGACATGAGGGGCGGTAAGTTAAATGGGAGTCACACAGAGCAGCAGGGCAGAGGGAAGACTGGGAGCCTATCTCCAGGGAAGGAAGGGTATGGTAGGAGCAGGTGGGAGAGCTCAAGGACGGCCCAGGTCTCAAGCGCTAGGAGACAAAAAGAGGTTAATGGAAGAGCTGTGGTCTCGAGTGATGGAGGTTATGGAAACAGCATCATTTTTCCATTCATTAAAGCAGAGTGCTCCATTTTCTCCGTATGGATTTTAGACTAAGTCCATTTAAAAATACCTGTAAAAAAGACTAAAGACACTATCAAGGAAGAATTACAAAAGGTCTATAGGGTCTTGAGGGCTCTGGTAGTAAACTACAGTGGTCCCAAGACGCTTTTCACATCTAGATGAATGCACCAAGCTCTAAGTCAGCAACGTACCGCTACAGTGACTTTTTTTGACCGGAAGTAATCATTAATGGGATAAACAAGTTTCCAACACCCTTATTCTCCTCCCACATTGTGCTTTCCATAGGGCAACAATTTTTAGGTATATAATTATTTAGAAAATGGATTAAAACCTCGTTATTACTGTTTGGTACAAAATTTTTTGTCTGATGTTAAAAATCATCTTTTTGGATAGTAATTTGCAAGACGGGATAACGGTGAAAATAAAAGCCAAATACGATGATTATCAGTCAAGACAGTGTTGCTACCCATGCTGAAAACAGCCAGTCCAGCGCAGGGACATGCCCCCTGGCTGGATTTCCTCCCCAGGGACAAGGGGTGAGACTAATGCAAACAGCAAGAACATGATCTTTCAACCCTTTGTGGCCAGGTGCAGTCCAGCCTCTAGTAGTCGATCTCTAGATGCTGAGAACACTGAGAATGTAGGAAGGTCCTAGTAATAATGTGTTCCCTTTAAATGTACAGATTCTGCTGGTCTGCACTTTATTTTTTATACATTTAACTTGCCACTATCCCTTTATTTGCCTGTTCTCTCCATCATCTTCTCCCTTGAAGTGAAAAATAATAATGCCCTACTAAACTGAGCAGAATAGACAGCTGCGCAGTTGTGCACTACTGAGTAATTCACTTTCATAAAATCCTCACACCTGACACATAAGACAACTCTCAATTTTAGATCCTTGGGAATAGCATCAAGAGCAGATTCTAGTGTTCTGGATGGCTAAGCTTAAAGTAAGCATGGTAGTTCTCCAAAGAGCCAGTGGGGTCAACTTCAAGAAAGACTCTGCCCTTACCTATCACACCCTTCATCGAGATCCTGGCAATCACACAAACAAGCGGCCACGTGGTTCTTTTCCCCATTTCGATCGATGTACTCGCAGCAGCACAGGGGCTCCAATTGAGGTTCTTCCGCTTTGTTTTTCTTCAGTGGCTTCATACTGCCCTTCTGTGTCACGATTTCCACCTGTCACCACGAGGTTTAAGAAGCCCTCAGTAGGTAAAGGCGAAAAGAACACGACTCACATCTTGTAAACGCATCCACGCCTCTGATTATCCGCCAACGCCTGAGAAATCAAACAGGAGAGGAAAGAGGGGGAGGGGGAGTCTCATTTTCATCAGGCTTTTCTTGCTCGGCTCGGCCAGACAGGGAGCTCTAGGGGCTCCCAGCCGCCTTCACCGCCCCTTCCTACCAGGGCTGGCGCCGTCTGGGTACCAGCGGTTCCCATGGTGACAGCCGACCACACGGGCCCGGACAGCCGGGGCGCGGGCGGCTGCGCTCACCTGCCGGTGCAGGATGGGGAGGGCCGAGCGGTCCCCGCCCAAAGCCCAGGTGCAGGTGGAAACTCACCCTCTGGGCTGCGGGCGGAGAAACGCGTGTGCCGCGGGGGCCGGCGCCCGCACCCGGCTCTGGGGAGGCCACCAGACGCCCCAAAGAGCGCCCGTGCAGCGCTCGGGGTCGCCGTCCAGCCCTGCGTCTCCAGCTCCTCGCAGGGCGCACCTCTCCCGCCCCCGCCGACCGTGAGGGCGTGGGCGGGCCGCGAGCACCGCCCCGCCCGAAGAATGACCTTGGAAGTTACCTGGGTTCCGGGGCCGAGGTGCGGCTGCAGCGAAAGAGGCCCAGGTGGAGGGGAGAAGGGTAGATTCCTCCCGAGGCGCGGACGCGTCTTCCGAGCTCTGCTCCGCTGGGCTCTCTGTATGACGGCTGGAGTCCCGGAGACCCCGGCTCCGCTCCGCTCCGCCGCGCCTCCGCCGCCGCCCACCTGTGAGCACAGGCGGCCGCGGCCCGGGCAGCTCGCCCGCCTACCCGTCCCTCTCCTGCCCGCCGGCTCGGCGTGGCAAGTCCGCGCGCGCTTCCGGGTGCCCCGCCCCCGGCGCCGGGGATCCCCTCCCGCCCGCACGTGCGCCGCCCGGAGCCCGGCGGAGCCGGCTGGTCAGGCCCCACCCCCGGCCCGAGGCCCTGGCGCCGGGAAGAAACGAGGACCTAAGGACCGGCACTTGGGAGTGGGTGCCGGCGGCGGGGCCTAGGGCTGGCCCGGCACCTCCGCCCCGCCCGGCCCCGGTGCGGCCCCGCCGGTGGCTGCGGGCGGTACGTGGGCGGGGCAACCCCAGAGCCCTGGGCTGGGGGGAGGTGCCGATGGAAAGACGGGAAACCCGGGAACCCGGAGGATTCCCTAAGCACTGGAGACCCGTGGGTCTGCCAGTCTTCATTCGAACGCCGGCCACAAGCTTAGGTGGAGATCTCCACCGCAAATTGTTACCGAGGTACCGCCCCCACATTCTCCAGCCTTCTCTTAAAGGCCCATCGCTGTCCCTGATCTGTTCATTTTCATGATTTCTGGCGAGCAGATTCTACATTCGACCGGCAGGCCGACTAGTACTTTTGTCCCAACAGTCTGCATATTTGAAATGAAACAGTCTGCATATTTGAAATGAAATGAATCCTCTTTGAGTTTTATTTTTGCACAAAATTTTTTAAAGAGTGTAGGCCCATATACACGTTTTCACTATAGCAGGTTTCTAGTTATTTGTGTTTTGGGGGGGTTTTTAACAGAAAAAAAAACTACAACTCAAGACATTTAGGGTTTTATTGATACTCAATTTACGTAACAGGCTCAAATGCAATTAATTAAGTTCTGCATACATACATGTTTAGTCTTAATATATAAAGCAACTTTGGTAATTTTCTTTGAGGTATATTTATGAAGTACAAGTTTTACAGAAACATCACAAAAATATTGTTTGCCACTGATCTTTTTTGTGAATTTAACAAAGTCTTCAAGTTTATAATCCAGTGACTCACTCACAGCCCCACTTCACAAATCAAAAAACCCCCCGGGTAAGTACACTGGTACCCCAAGGTAGGTTTGTTGGGAATCACCCAGAGAAATCCATTTTCCCTGTACTTAATCTCAAAAATGACTTTAGCTATCTCCTGTGGCTCTGGGGAAAGAGAGAAACGTGTAACTAAAGGCAAGCATTGTCCAAACAGTAAGAATATATACCAATTATTGGGCACTGTCTTTCTCTTGTTCCAAAGACATCACTTGTATTGAGACAGACATATATGCCTAAAAACTTTCCATGAAAGAGCCAAAGCTTCTGTCTGATTTCAAACTTCAGTCAGTGCCCTAGTATTGGGACATAGTGCCCCCAAAAGTTTTTATTGAAGAGCTAGAGTTTGTGTCTGGTTATAACTTACCAGCTGAAACAAGTCGCACACATGAATGAATAAATGAAGACCTATGTAGCTACTGAAAGTAATCCACAAATTATTTTCAACCAGGTGTTTCACTTCCACCATAAAAGAGTGCTAAGCTGAAGCCAAGCTTAGTTCAAGTATTCATCTGATCTGTCACTAAATGCCCAGATTTTAACATAATCCTCTGGTTCTTAAAATCAGAGCATGGTTCTTCATTTTGAGTGTTGGTATCCTATGTTTCCTTTTCCAGAACTGACTCTTCTGCCATTTGATAAATGAAGGGGCAAGATAATCTCACCTCTGATAGCTACCTGAAGAAGAAACAACCATTTCTTCAGAAAAATACAACATGGCTCAAGAACGTTTCAGATAATTACCAACTTGCAGACTCAAAAGGTTGGACTATTGAATTTGCATGCTAAATAAGTGAAGACATTGTAATATTTACAGTACACAAACTTAGAAATGTTTTATGCCTGAAAATTGGTCCTTCAAAAGTAGTAATGATAAAAGAGGTTTATTCTTTTATTGTCTTCTTTAGCCTCTTGAATGTATCTCAACTGGGAAAGCAGCCTATCGGACACCTACTGATTCTGTGCTAACAGATAAAGCATCAAGCTTCAAACCTCACTGTAAAAATCAGTTCAGAGTGTCTCATTTTCTTTTTGTATCAGAAATTCAAATCCACAACATATTTCATGCTTCACTAGAGAAATTCACTGCTTAGAATTATGTATAAGAAGTGAAAGAATGGATTGTAAGGCTATCAGAAACTAGTTATCAAATTAATGTTATTAAAAAGAATGTTCATATTAGAAGTACCAATAATGAGAAAATGTGGAAATGTTCCTGTGACAATTAAAATCCTTCATCCTCTCGTTTTCTTTAAGATGTTTTCTTTTACTTCCAAGTATCTCTACATTTTCAGGCCTTGAGATCACTAGCTTCGACAGGCATGGCAGTCTTGTTCTTATTTAGTAGATCAAAAGTTCTCTGAAGCATAATGAGTGAGCTCTTTAACTGCAAACAAAATTAATTTTCAAAATCAGTTTGTTTACATTTTTTCTTATTTTTATGCCAAAAGTTTACATTCAATATGGTTTTGTTTATAGTGACGTCCAAATAAAAGACTGAATTTATAAAACACATGGCTGCTTGGGGTTTACGTCGGTATGACTGCTAAGGAGCTCTTCCTGTCCACTGTGATCCTGCTCTCCTCCCCACTCTCCTGCCGTGCACTCTGCCTCCCAGCAGGTGGTTTTCTGAAATGATTTCTCCAGTTGCACTGGCCTCTCCACTATCCCCTACACAACTCAAGTTCTCCCTCCAGGCCTCTGCTTGCTGTTATGCTCATACCTGTCTTCAACCATTTAAAACGTACTCATCCCCACCCTCTCCGTGTCACCTTCCCTAATCATCCTGCCTTTAAACTCCCAAAGTATTATTACTTACTTGACACTTTATACTTTTTTATAGTTTTTAACAATACACGTGGACATCTGATTTCTCTAATAAAATTATAGGTGACTTGAGAGCAAGAATTATGTTTTATGCTTCTTTATATTCATTCAGCAAATGTTAATTGTTTATCTATTACATGCTGGGTCTGTGCTAAGCCAAGCACTGGGTATACAATGGTAAACCAAATAGGCACTATCCCTGCCTTCATGGAGCTTACAGACTAGTGAGGGATACAGAACTAAAACAAGTCATCACATATATAAATATATACTTCCACAAGGCATTAAGTTTTTGACTGGAGGATGACAGTGTCATTTTCTGAAATACGTCAGCTAGAGGAGAATCAGTCTGGCTCAGGATGAAAACTGAATTCTATCTTGGACGTGATCAATTAGTGGTGGCCTCTTAGCATCCAGGTGAATATGCCAAGTCAGCAGGTGACTGCGTGGGCCTGGAGCTCCGGTAAGAGAGATGGGTTTGGGAATCAATGATATGTGTAGCACAAGTAAGGGGAGTGGATCAGACCACCTAAAGGGAAGGAGAGGAGAAAGCCTGGAGTACTAAGGCCAGGGAGAGGAGATGGTTTTAACCAGCAAAAAGCAGTTTTACTTTATGCTAGGTACAAGTCACAAAGACCATATAGTATATGATTCCCTCTATATGAAATGTCCAGAATGGGCAAACCTATAGAAATTAAAAAGTAGATTAGTGACTGTAGGAGCTGAGAGACTGCTAATGGGAACAGGGTTTCATTTGGGGGTGATAAAAATGCTCTGGATTTAGGCAGTGGTGATGGTTGTGCAACTTTGTGAATATACTAGGAATTCTTTCAAAGGTTAATTTTATTGTATGTCATTTATATCACAATAAGGCTGGGTTTTTTTATGGTTTTAAAGAAGGAAAGATTAGATACGCTTCAAGAAAGAAGTGGTCAGCTCTTGTCAAATGCTCACACTGTAAGATGTAAACTAAAAAAAGGTATATTAATTTTAAAAGCCAGAGGTCACTGGGGACCTTAGCTTGAGCAATATCATTGGAAGATATGAGGGAAGAAAACAAGGCAGGAGTGAGGTGAAAAGCAAATAAGTGGCTTAAATATAGGCATCTAATTTTGCTCCCTCCTGAAACCCCACTAAAAGCACAATAAAGGGATTTTTTAAGGCATAAATCCAGGAGGACAGGGAGCACAGAAACAGCAAAAGCAGCAACACAACATCGGAAACTAGAAAGCGGATGACTTAGCAGACCAAAAAAAGTGGAATCCTAAACTAACTGTGGAGAAAGCTGAGAACCAACCACATTTACCCTGAAGAATCCTCAAAAGCCTCAGGAATTGACAGGAATCTCTGGAAGTCGGAATAAAGAGAAAGGGACTAAAAATGAGGATTATACAAAAAAGTGTTGAGGCCATCCCCCTATGCCCTGCCCTCTTCCATCCCTCTACTTTCACTCTGCTTCTAAAATGCTGGCAGCCAGCCCTTAATCCTTCAGATGCTCCTCTATGGGAACTGACCAATCTAAGAGGAAAGACCTAAAGACAGTGATACCGGGATTTCTCAACCAATAACTCTGCCAGATCTACAGAGAAGTTCAGGGTACACCGGCCCAACCCACGTTAAGAGCTTAAGAGCTTCTGATCCACACAAGCAGACAACCAAGGACTACAGACATCTAATGAAATCCTCTTACTCTAAGGATAGAAATCAAAACAGGGAGAAAGGATCTTGATGGAAAGTGAGTAGGCAAGAAGGGGAAACATTTTTAACCATCAGTAATATGATCAGAGAGATGAAGATACTATAGTCATTTTAAAAGATCACAGTGCCATTAAAAAAAAAGAAAATTAAAAAAAGTAATGTCTTTGAAATTAAAAACTTGTTAGCAAAAATTGAAAGACATAAGAATGTGAAGATTAAGTTGAGGAACTCTGAGGAGGCAGAACAAAAAGGCAAAAACATGGAAGCTGGAAGGAAAAAATAAGATCAGACAGCCTGTCCAAAAGAAGGCAGACATCTGAATTACAGGAG